AAACAATGGCCCTATTGACAGGCGAGTTCGGTGAACAGTTTATCTCATGTTTGGGGCCCGTCAATTGGCCGCCTAGATCGTGTGATTTAACGCCGTTGGACTATTTCTTGTGGGGCCATGTTAAGGCTAATGTCTACAGGGATAAACCAGCAACGATTGACGTACTGCAAGCCAATATTGAAGCATTTATTCGTGAAATACCGGCCGATACGTTGGAGAGAGTGTGCCAAAATTGGACCTTGCGCATGGGCCTGTCTAAAGCGGAGCCGCGGCCAACATTTACATGAAATAATCTTTAAACATTAAATTATATCGACCGTTCTATCGACTCAAATAAAGATTTAATCGTTTTTCCCAAATTTTTTGTGTTTTTTTTTTGAAAATCAAATCCTATACCTCTTAAAAAATCACCCGTTATAATGAGAGAAAGTTTAACATTCGTGTGACATACCATACTTCGCATGCTGCGTTGTCCACGTAACTGGCATATAACTTTATTTCACGTGGAAATGACTTCATAATCGTTATCTATGATCAAGAATACCGTTTTAAGGTAAATCCTTTTTTTACCACGTGCAAATATGGAAAATGTAATAAATATTCTTTCATTTGTGGTATTTTAATGGATTATTATTTTAATGGAAGAGGAGATGTAGTAGATAATGCTGGTTTATGGCATCATACCCTTTCATTAAAACGATTGCAACGGTCGCTGAGGCTGTGCAGTGACAAAATGGCCAATAGTCAGGCTGATGAAGTGAGTGGCTTTTATTTTCAAGACATCATAAATTATCCGAAAATATTACATTTTCCGTACTTAGGCGTCGGAGTAAAAATAAGTGCTCACTCTAAAATGGACTTTTAGAGTTATTCCTACCTGACAACATGCTCCTTATACTTGAAGGACCAAGAAGGTGCCGAAAAGATGTAAAGGTCTCATTATACGATTAGGTGGTTGCTGTAGCCATTATACGCGAAAATAGAATTACATGTACCTTTACAGATTTTCATAGAAGCTAAATCGCAGAATTTAACTCCCTACAAAATTGTTTCTATTATTTTTTTACATAGGATCGCTGGTTTTTAAGATTTTTGATCACACGCGTTTTTCAAAATGGTTGCAAATGCTCCAGACCTATCATGACGTCAATTTGAATCCATCATTAGGGAGCAATAATCTAACGATGATACCAGAAAAAAATATTTCCAAAATTATAGGAATAAATACATATTTCCTAGACTATACACAGTTAAGGATATTATTTGTATGTGTCACGTGTAAAAAATATGCTTCGTCAATCTGGCTGCCTGTATTTTCATGATTGCGACAAAATCCATTCATTAATTTTTTGCCAGGTGACGAGTTTCATACATCACACGGATACAATGTTTAGTGCAAAATGGGCCGGTTTGTGTACCATCGCTGGACAAAAAAGTTTTGACTAATGTTAACCACTTTTCATCTCCGTGATTTTCAGTTTTAAATAAGTTCAGCTCAAAAACTGAAACATTTTCATACGATAGTAGTAGTAGTATGAATCACAATGCAAAATAGCATTAATAAAAATAAATCTCGACGTGCTGATAAAAATACGAAAGCCGTTTTTAATTTCGCACACAGGGATATTCACAAAACTAATATACATACCTAGCCAGCGTGTAATTGAAAAAACAGTAAAGAGGAACAGTAATACGTTTATTTGATTTAAAGGAAAATATGACACATTGTCTTAAGGGTAATACGTAGGTTATAAATATATGTATATAAGTTCTTGATCACGTGCAATACGGGTGTATATGTTTGATTTTACTTTGTTTCTTCGATGGATACATTTTGGTTTATTTTAGAATGATTTGAAAAACAAAGTTGTTCATATTTCCATCATTGTAATCTCCGAAACGGTAAGAGATACAGGTCGGTTGAATGGTGGCAAAGTTACATATTTATATATTTTAGAAAATGCTTTCGAAAAGTTTTAACGCGTCCAAAATCGTTTCCAATTTTTTATGAATTTATTTTAATGTTTGCCGAGCTAGGGAAAAGGGGGCAGGTGCAACCACTTGCAACCACTGGGTACGCCCCTGAATATTACCATCTATGGAAATTAAAAGTTTTCTCTAACAATTCATTTAATATGTATTCCCATTTTCATCAATGCCTTCGCTAATAATTTGCTAGCTCGCGGCGTTTCAAGATCAAAGCAGTGACTCGTCGCTATTCAACATCCGCTACCCCGGGTATAAAAAGATATGAGGTCTTTGTAGCTGTTGTCTGGATTGCCGCAGCGACTTGAAAAGTTTGCATCCAGAAAAGACGCACCTCAAGCTTTTTGCACTTTAATATTCCTATGGAAAGTTACATTGGATCATAAAATCAATTTACGTCTCAAAAAAACTAAAAGTAGATACAGCGTGGAAATATATTTCGTTTTCTAATCATACGACAAAAATTCAGATTAATTCCTCTATAATTTTTACGTAAAATAAAGCCTCAAGTAGATTGACTCTATACTTCCCACCCCTTCCAAACAACTTCTAGTACAATTTTCCATGTAGTGCAATAAGATCAAGAAGATGTAGGTTTTGTCAGTATCAGTAACGCACTGTGTGGGTTTTCCTACCTCCTTTTATCGGTCTCACTCGGATCGAGTACAAAAGATGCGATATTTATAACACCCTGGCACACGGCAAGAGCAAATGTACGGGAAAATCAATGAGGTGTGAAATATGTTTAATAGGTGCTTAGGATTACCGGGGTCGAAAGCGTATTAATACACTAACATTTAAACATTGGGATATACTCTCTCCCACCTCCTACAATCCCCACCCCCCGTTTTTACTCCTAAACAACTTTTTAAAAATGATCAGCCTTTCTGAAATCTGTACTGAATGAGCAATCTTTTTATTCAATATAATGCAGTTATAGACCAGTAAATTTTTGTTTCACCACAGATGGTCAAAGTTGAGAAAAAAATATCAGAAGGTTATAAATCCCAAAATAGTCCTTCTTTGATCATGGTTCCTTAATATATTTTAGCTACATTGCATTTGTATATCATAAAGCAACTATCTAGAAGTATTTTATAGAAAAAATGAACAAAGTATAACCTTATTTGTACGTGCAGCTAAAGACCACTGATGAAAAGAATGGTTTTTTTTAAATTTAAGAAAAAATTCAATATCTCAATAACGGTGACACTTTCATATATGTTAGGTAAGTTTTTGTTATTTGGGAGTTCAGACCAAAGCCTATCTTCTTTAAATTTGTTGTGATACTTATTGGGCACTCTGTATATGTACATATATGCATACTAGCTTAAATCCATCATAATAGTATAAGCCCTATTTCCCATGTTTAGCTATTCTTTTCTATTATAGTGCGCTTCACTGTCAAACTAATTTAAACCAATTACTGTACCTACTACCTGATCGTACCTGTATAGTGTTTTCGAATCTACCCAAGAATCATCATAAAACACCAACAAAGCTCAGGAAATTTTCGATTTTCTCTCATCACTTCGTCGTCACAACAAACAGACAGAATGATGGAATGAGTGACACGGTTTGATACTTCCTTACCAACAAGAATGATTAGTGAAAGTATTAGTAAAAAAGTAAAACTCTGTATCTTAGTAAATAGAAAGTACCCATACATGCTAGTGATGGTTATTCTGGTAAGTTAAAACACGTTTTATGTAAATGGTGCTCATTACATTTAATAAATACATATATACAATTAATAGTCCTTCAACATCAATCGCTCCTTTTTTTCTCCAAACCATAAAATGCCATTTTTTTGATTGATCGATTTGTGAATACTCACCCACCTGCATTATAACTACTATTAAGAGAAGCAGAGTGTCGAAAACAATAATACCATACTCCATAGGGTGTCAAAGTCAGAAATGAGAATGAGTTTTTATTAGAATTTAGATAGGGTTTCAAAGCCGGAAAACTTAAACTTTGGTATACTTTTTATGAGGGTTTGTGTGAAGAAAATATTATGATGGGTGGGATGAATAGCTTAATTCTCAATGTTTTAAAATAAACCTGGTCCAAAAAGGTTGACATTTGTAAAAATGGCACAAGATAATTAGATAAATACTTGACAGAATTTTTCAACAAAAAAAACTGAATGCTGAAAATCTCTAAAACTTTTACTAAAACAAAATTAATCTTTGGCCACCCTAATACTTTGTCCCGAAAATGCCTGATGTATGGAAATTATGGGACACTCATTAAGAAACGCCCTGTATACTCAAGCTAGAAATAGATATAGCCAGTCAGTGAGACGTATGCAATTTCAGCAGTTTCAGATTGTAGGAATGGATGCGTCATTGGGAATTCAACGCGAGATAGTCTGGATATTTTCGGAGTTGCAGTTTCCATGTCTATTCCAATTACTTAAGAAAGCTAGACTATGTCTGAGTCTTAAGATAGTCGCCAAGAATGCTGACAGCAAAATTCGTGTGGATTTGGATAAGTTGTCAAAAAACGAATTAATTTGCTTCCAACTGCAAATGCAAGTATAAGGAGTGACAGTGCCAAAACGTCCAAGGGATATTGCAGTGACGTCCAGGAAACAAACCAACAAAAATTTCACGACTCATATCACTTCATCACAAATAATAATAATAATAATAATAATAATAATATATTATTATTATTATTATTATTATTATTATTATTATTATTATTATGATTATGAGTATATACATAACATAAATACAAAACATATAACACCCCAAAAGGCTGGGTGTTGGGAATGCCATTTTTCACCTCAGCCTACTAAACTACAAATGTGAAACTTATTAACATACGAGGGATGTATTTTAAGTTTTGCATATGGAAATAAAACAATACGGTAGGTGGTTTTAAATGACTTTATTGTTTTTCGAAGTATTCTCCACGAAGATTAATACACATCTGCATGCGCTCGAACCAATTTTCGAAGCACTTATTCCACTCGTTTGCTGGCAGATCCAAAACGGCATTTTTGAATGCGTCAACTGCTTCTTCTGGAGACTGGAACCTTTGACCACGTAGTCTGTTTAAAATTTTCGGGAAAGTAAATAAATCGTTAGGACTTAGATCGGGACTATATGGAGGATGGTCCAATAATTCCACGTTTTCTTCCGTTAAATACTGCCTTGTTTTTTGGGCTGTGTGCGAGCTTGCATTGTCTTGGTGGAGGATGATTCTTCTTTCGGGGTTGATTTTTTAAAGCTCGGTGATTACTTTTGGCAAACAAATGGTGCAGTAACACTTCTTTGCTCATCAAGAGAAATTGTTGCAATATGACACGCTTTTGACACAAATGTCACGACCATCTTTTTCGAAACACTTCGAGAACGGATGACTTTTGTTGGCTTTTCTTCACCTTGGAACACCCAAACAGCCGACTGTCGTTTATTTTCTGGTTCATAACAGTAAATCCACGATTCATCACCATTAACAATGCTGTAGGTACACATTTTTTGTGTTTCCGGAATTGAAATGGTCAAGCGTTTTTTGACACCAATTAACCCTGGCTGCTTTCTGCTCTTCAGTCAACAGGTGGGGTATCCAACGAGAAAATAATTTTCTTACTCCTAATTCTTCATGTAAAATTTTTTGAATTGAGGTCTTTGAGATCTCCAAGGACGCCTCAACCTCGCGATATGTCACATGTCACAATGATGAGTTTGCGCACAGCATCGACGTTTTCCTGGGTGACTGCCGTTTTTGATGCACCCACCCTGGGATTGTCGCTAAGACTCACCCGTCCACGTTTGAATTCTCCATACTAACGGGAAATTGTCGACTGATGTGGCGCTGCGTTGCCGAAAGCAGACAGTAATTCAGCAAGGCATTCTTGTTGCGATAATTGTCTCTGAAAGTTGTAATAAATTATGGCGCGAAAATGTTCTCGGTTGAGTTCCATTTTTCTAATGACTTAGTGACACTTAAAAATTCACTGTAGTAAGAACACTGCACGTATTGTTGTGAAACTTCGAATTTAAGTTTACTAAAGAGTGAGGTTAAGATTCAGTACTGACGTTCGATCCGCGCGGCCTACTATATTTCTATATGCAAAACTTAAAAGACATCCCTCGTATTATGAGTAACAATGTTGAGTATACATAACGCTATACTATATAAAAACCATAATAGGAACAATTATTTTGAAGTGCCTGCGTTTAAGTGGTATTCACACTTAATTGGAAGTTCAAAGAGCTTCAAGAAAGAAAGCACTTATCGTTGATATAAGCCGCTACTCTAAGCTTGGAGCGAAAGTTGTTTTTTATTATTATTCTAACATTGTAGGTGGCTGTAGACGATCTATTTTATGTACTTCCTTCCTACCTATGCACCTATATAATAGAAGCGTCTGAGCCCCAAGGATATTGCGATGGAACGCTTTTGTTTGTTCGCTTAACAAGTTCTTAAAGGGTGTTATAGGTCGCTGCACTTGCGGTCGGGCAAGCAGGAATAGATCCAGAATTTTCCGGTTCTGTACTTTTTTACACCGAAACAGCTGCGCAGGCAGAAGCCTAACTGCCAGGACACCGCTTTTGCTATGAGGATCCCAAAGAAATTTTGTTAATCCGATTTTTGAACTGCCTAAGGTTAGTAGAACTGAGAAAAGCCTCTTGTTTCACAATCTCAACACCTTCGGGACAAAGGAGCGGTCGCATCAGCCAGTTCTGGATGTACGAATTTCGACACGGTTAAGTCGGGCGGGTCTGTCTGGCAGGCACAAGGTTCCTGAGACTTTGTATTAGAGAAAAGTCATCGATCAGTCGGAGAGCCCTCCTCTGGACAGCATCGAGCATAAATAATGTAGTAGGGGCAGCAGCACCCCAAAAGTGAGCAATACCCGAGGCTAGGACTAAGCTGGGCTTGTATAGAGTGAGGAGGTCATGCGGAGAATAGTATTTCTTAGCCCTAAACAAATAGCCTAGCTTTTCCCCAGCAGCTGCCGCTATTGACGAGGTGTGTTTGTGCCAGATCAAGTACTCGGTGATTTAGACTCCGACCAGCCGAAATGAATGGCCCTTTGGCAGAACTCGGGCATCCATCGGAACCGGATGATCGCTAGGACGCTTTTTGTTCGACAAGGCACACTATTGTGTTTTGGAAGCACTAAACGAGATTGGTTGCAGCCCCAAGTAGTGATAACCTTCAGGTCTTTCGACAGAGAGGAAGCCTCTACTAGTCTTCGTTAGCAATACTGTGGACTTGATTGATCGTGCAGGAAAGGAGATCGTTGATGTATAAGAGGAATGAGCCTCACCATAAGATTATAATATGAGTTTACTCCACAATTACGTTAGGTAAGCTAGGAGGTCCCCTGTAGATCGTTGGTGCCAGAAATCATACTGGCAATGATGTTCGAGATAGTCCAGAAGCTCGCGTTTTATGCACCTCTCCATCACCTTGCTTTTATCAGGATGCACACTTTTAGGCCTTATACGAGTCGGTCCAAGATCCCTTTTTTGGAATGGGTTAGATACGAGCAAATTTCCAGTTTTGTGGGCAGGTGCCAGATTCGTAAGATATCTCAAAGAAGCGCGACAGAACTGGCAAGCATCAATCTTATGGTCATATGCCTCAATGTTTCTTCCTGCATAGTGTAGGAAATCCCTTGAATCGACGGCACTCGGGCGTTGGGGGCATTGGGGGGGTCGTCCATGGTGGAGTTGGCAGCAAAGGCCTTGGCAAGAACTTCCGCGTTAGCCTTTGGGTCCGTTTCAATCGTTACATCCTGACTCGTAAATGGTGGAAGGCTGCTCTGTGAGAAGTTCCTTTCAATCTGCTTGACCAGCGTCCACAAAGACCGGCTGCCGTTGCGCTTCGACGTTACCCTGTGCCTAAATTTTATATTGTGCTGGTCTTTGGCATTGCGGACCACTTCGTTATATTTATTTCTGGACTTGACGTCGGCTTGTTTGTTCTTTACAGTAAAGTTTTGTAATAAGGTTATGTGTACCTTGATCTTCTGCTGGCAGTGTCGCACGATTTGTTAAACTAGCTGTTGGATCCTGGTTTAGGCACTTTCACTGTATGAGGGATGTATTCCTCCATTTAAAAGTGGATAAAATTTCGGTTTTCGATGGACAGACAGCCGACGCATCCGCGTCAGCGAAGCAAACATCTCTACACTCCACAACACCATGGTCTACGTTTCCCAAGGGAGACAGGACAGCAGTGCTGTAAGGGACATGATGCGTGGTCAGAAGGAGATCCAGCGGACTACATGCATGTGACGAAACGTGGGGGAAAAATAGGGCTCGTTACCAGCTAGGTCAGTCCTTGGGTAATAGCGAACGCTTCAACTGCACGACCTGCTGCATCGGTCTTGATTGAGGCCAACCAAAGCTCACCATGGGTATTGAAAAGAAGAAGAGGAGAACTACCTCTGAAGCGGGATGATTGATGTATAGGAAGTCGATCTTGATAGCGGGGTATTAGAAAGGGTCATCCCAGTTATGGTCCGAGGGAGAGCGATAAAGCCAGCAAATGAATTTGGGGGATGTTTTGGAGTCAAAGCGAGGCCACAGAATGTCCTTCCGGTTTACTTTCAAAGAAACGTCCCTCGAGCAGGAAATATTGCTGTGAACAAAAGCCACAACTCCCACTTTCTTTCTCAGATTGTAGTGCACCTCGTAATTTGGGAAGCTAAGATGAATAATCGGTGCAGACTCTGATATTTTTGCCCCCACCAAGAAAAGCATGGTGGGATAATCAGATTGCAGGTAGTGATGAGTAGCATCAATATTGCTGTTAATCCCACAGAGGTTGGTGAAACAAATTTGATCATCGATGTTGTTCTCTCGAGACCATCCTCCGCCCGGATATTCCGAGAGTGGAGTGAGTTTATCCGACTGCGTAGCTTAGGTTTTGAAACACGTGGACATTCTTAACACATCCTGCAAAAAGCTAGCGGGTGGTACCTCCTCGGTCGACTGGTCCTTATCTACCTCCTTCTTTTTGCGTGTTAATGATGTTAAAGACACCTAAAGTGGCCCGTTGGAGGACTTGTACCGTCACCCGGCCATCGGTACTGAGGTATTCCTTAACTCATGTACAATCACTTGAACGGGAAGAGGTTGTATACTGAATAGAACAACTTCCGGAACAAGCATTTGCCACGACCCTGCTCAGTAGTATTTTTTCGAATAACGTATGAAGAAATACCGAGTCAGTCTAATTGGTTCTACATTTTGATTCGTGACAAACCTTTGACAGACCCTCGTAAACGGTAACTGACTACGATTATTTGTATCAGCTTTACACGTAGGAATGAAGAAAAACTTACTATCTCACCCACATATGTAAAAAAACCGTTATATGCGGGATCAAAACGGAACAATACCACATTTTTCCATATTTTTCGCATTACCGAAGTACTCATTCAACAACCATGATCAAAACATACGGCGTTATAGGGTTCACATTACTTGCGGTTGGTTTCGTGTATTTTTGCTACTTTATGAGAGCATTATTGGCAGTTAAAAACAAATTCATTGTCTGGACGGTATCCGAGTGCGTTGCAACAGTGTTTATGGGATGTGTGTATATTTATGTTGCTACTAGTACTTTTAATGATACGGTAAACTCAACCTCGGAGTTCACGAACAATTTGGAAGACATTGTTGCCGTTAATGACTCCTACGAAGTTCCGTTCAACAATGTTATACCATCCACTTCCGTATCTACTACTAGTGAAGTCACAAGCACTTCAGCAACTATAGAAGATGTTATCACAGACGACAAAGTCAAAGACGTGACAGACGTTCCATATACTAGTGAAGACAACAAGATTGAAGATGAAGCAACGCTAGAGAAAAACAACAAGTTTCTGCAGCAGTATAAGAATTTTATCAAAAATGCTCTGAGACAAAACGGCTCGGTAGCTATTTTTAACCAAAGTTACGTATATAAAAAACTGATGAAGGAAGAAAGTAGACAACTTGAAGAACAAGCTGTGAATCAGGAAGATATCGAGACTTTAATGTTTGAAAACATGCTATTAGTGTATTCGTTCTCACAGTGTTTTATGAGTTTGCTTATCAATTGCATTTGTTGTAAACAATGTGTTTATGAAAAAGAAAATCCGAAGCATGGTGATACTGGAAGTGAGAAAGAACCGCAACCAGAAAGTTATCACACCAGAAATCTTTCAGATAAAATCATTACGGTATTGACACGTACAACACTGAAATACAAATTTACCACGACTGTACACATATTTATTAATTGGACTTTACCAATTATTATATTTTTATGTTTATACTATTCTTTATTTTGCACTCGGGTCACTGTTGATACTGATAATGATATTTTTGTAAATTACATCAATGTTCCAAATATCTCACACGTTTTTCAACATCCTATCAAAACTAAAACTAACTCCACTGAAATTGACAGCATAATTCAAAATGTGTATAATATAGTCAACAGTAAAGTGCATGATAACGTAAATAAAAAATCGAAACAATTCACGACATTCCTAACCAGCAAATATCTTTATAAAAAGTCTGATATCCACTCTGAATCAGATTCCGATATGCCATTGCAATTATCTAACTCCTTTTTGATTTTGGCCTA